CCCAAAATATAAGCTCCACAAAGGCAAGGATTTCTGACTGTTTGTTCACTCCTGTATCCCCATCGTCAAGAGCAATGTCTAGCATTTAGTAGGCTGATAAATCAATAATCAAGTACTTTTTGAATGACCTGACTGAAAGCATGAGGTTGACATGGAGAACAGGCTTGACATACAGCTACAACCGTGCTCCTTAATAAGTCCCTGCCACACTGATTTTACCCCCACCCCAACGCCTTCCCTGGAAAACTTAAGGTACATCCATCCTGACAGCAGGCCCCTCCCAAAGAGAATAAGGAGGAGTAAGCATGGGGCTCCTTTTAGTGCCAACCATCAGGTAAGTCCCCTCTCCTCCCTTGGTGTGGCACCGTCCCACTCCCCAACCCTAACTTCTGCTTTTCCTGGGGGAGAGCTGGAGGAGAGAGAGAAGCCCATAGGTTCCTGGGGAATGAATGGCTCTCCCCTCAATGAAACTTGAAGAGTGAGAGAGAAGTATTTCCCTATCCCAACACTCCCCAGCATCGTGTTTTCTTGACTAGTTTGGCTCAACATGCTAACCCTAACAGAAGGTACTCTACCTGAGGCAGAAGACCCAAAAGTGAGAAAAAGGGGCTGAGCAAGCATGCTGGATGCCTCCTCCCCAGCTCCCCAGTCAGATCAGCCAGGAGGAGTGAAGGGGGTGAGCAGAGGGGCCACAAGCCTCGTGCTGGCCCCTAACAGAAACTGTCTCACCAGACACGAGGCCAAAGGGTCAGGGACAAATGAGTAAGAAAGGGCTCGCTTCTCAGTGCATACGCACCCCGCGGACAGAGCACACCATAAACGACTAACTCCAAGAACACTGGATTAACAGCCTCCTACTCTGTCTTTTGATTTAATGGAAGCTCAGCTCAGCGAAACTGAAAAGGTCTAAAGGTTAATTTGATAAAACTGATTATTCAATTAAAAGGTGATGTTCCTTTAGGAAATATCATACATTAACCTTTTAAATGGGAAACTGACAGGATAGTTATTCTATTAGCAACAACAACAGAAAGTTTTTCCCCAAAACAGTATTGTTTTGTTGCCAGGACACTGCGGAAAAGGTACATCTACCAGAAGTGGAGAAATTATTTTTAATTAAAATCATTCAAGAGATCCAACCAGAGGCTACTGTGGTTGCATGCTGTTCTGCTCTAGTAAAATGTCATTATTAAAAAAAATTAAATGGGTCAATAAAGTCAGCCCTACATTATGGAAAAAATTACAGCTTCCTAATTATGTCAACCTAACATAGCCTTATGGGTCTGAAGGCAATATTTCTGAACATATTCTTTCAATTTCACCATCATAATCCAACCAAAATGTTCCTAAGAGCAGGCCAAGGCCAGCACATTGCATTGGGAGGCACAAGTAGAAGGAAAGGCTTTAAACGTCTATCAACATTGGGAGAGAGAACTTGATGGGGGAAGGTAAGGGCGGCCTTTCTCCATCTGAAGAGAATATAGGGCATCAAGTGGAATGCTTATGCCCTCTGTGAACCAATTCCCCTAGTATGACACCTAGCCTCCTTCCCTCAGCCTTCTCCCTCCTTGCCCATCCCATGGGAGAAGGAGGGTCTCCTCTGAATTGTAACCAAGCAGAAGGAACCGGGCATGAACATGCATCTAGCCACAGCTCCTTTCTCTCTCTCTTCTTTCTTTGGGATCTTCCTGCTTATAGACAGAGGTTCTGCTCTGTTTCTCTCTCACATGTGCTATAAAAGGGCCTGCCCCTGCTGTCTGTGCTCCAGGGACTGCGACTGTTAGGGGCACTAATGGCCGAGTGGGTCTAATTCAGGAACCTTCAGCAAGGCCATCCACCCGCAGACCTAAGCTCTGCCTGCCACCCTAGATTTTACTGGTGATAAAGCTGATAACACCTCCGTCTCCATCATGTTGACCTGATTCCTGCATCCCCCCCTTCTCTCTCTCCCCTCCACCTCTCTCTGGCAGAAAATAGAGGTGCTTTCTTTTCTTTCTTTTTTTTTTTTTGATGAGGAAGATTAGCCCTGAGCTAACATCTGTTGTCAATCCTCCTATTTTTGCTGAGCAAGATTGGCCCTGGGCTAACAGCTGTGCCCTTCTTCCTCTTGTTTATATGTGGGACGCCTGCCACAGCATGGCTTGATAAGTAGTGCACAGGTCCGCGCCTGCGATCCAAACCTGTGAACCCCGGGCTGCTGAAGTGTAGTGCATGCACTTTACCACTTCGCCACCAGGCTGGCCCAAGGTGATTTCTTTTTTAACTGACCACCCCCCAACTGCAGCATAGGTCAAATAGGTTTCCAAATCAATTACCATTCACCAAGAGACTTCTGTGTGCCAGGAATTCACACACATCTCATTTAATCCTCATAAGAACATTATCCACATTTTATAAAAAAGAACACACGAAGATGTGAAGTGAGCTGTGCACACTCACATGATTAACAGTGGCAGAGCTGGGACTGGAACTAAGATGTGACTGGCCTCCAAGCCCACGCCATTTCAGAGAGATCAAAACACTGGTAGGAGTGGACTCAGAACGCATTAGTTGGCAATGGACAACTGCAACGGGGAAAATGAGTAAAAGACTGAGTTTCTATAATGGGGGGATGGATTGGTCAAGACTAAGAAAGCCTCAGGAGCCACAGTTCCATCTGACGCTCAAGCCACACCACCAGTAAGTGGCAGAGCTGGGCCTGGCCCTCGGGGATCCCAGCCCTCAGTGCCAGCACTTGCTGCCATTGTAGCTGTGGGGGGAGCTTTCGGCCAGTGGCACACTGTACCGGGCAACACCGAGAAAAGGACTCAGAGTGAGTCCGCGCTGTAGTGGTCTGGGAACACTGACACACAGTGTGTGAGAGCTGAGCTCTGCTGTTTGAGGAGAAATGCCTTAATATCACTATCATAATCAAAAGTTTAAAACTATTGCCAACTTACAGAATAGCACTCTGATACAATAATCTTTTTATAAACCCATTGCTTTTTTCTTTTTCCACTGCATCTCAATTATATTGTCTTGTTTTTTTGGTGAGGAAGGTTACCCCTGAGCTGACACCTCTTGCCAACCCTCCTCTTTTGCTGAGGAGGATTGGCCCTGGACTAACATCCGTGCCCATCTTCCTCCACTTTACACATGGGACACCTGCCACAGCATGGTTTGACAAGTGGTACATAGGTCCACGCCCAGGATCCAAACCTGTGAACCCCGGGTCGTGAAGTGGAACGTGCAAACTTAACCACTACGCCACCAGGCTGGCCTCTATACTGTCTTTTTGAATCTCCCAACTAGCTGTTGAGTGATTATCACGCCCATTGTTTAGAGCAGGGTTCCACAACACTTTTTCTGAAAAGGGCCAGATAGTAAACATATTAGACTTTGCAGGCAATATAGTCTGTCACAACCACTCAACTCTGCTGTTTAGTGCAAAAGCAGCCACAGATAATATGTAAACGAATGGGTGTGGCAGGCTCCCAATAAACTTTATTTATATAGACACTGAAATTCGAATGTCACAAAATTTTCATATGTGATAAAATCTTATTATTACGTTTCCCCCAATCATTTAAAAATGTACAAACTATTCTTAGCTCACAAGCTGTACAAACGCAGGCAGTAGGCTAGACCTGGCCTGCAGGCTGTACTTTGCTGACCCTGGTTTAAAGGAAGACATTGGGTTTTACAGATTAAATGACTTTCTCAGGTTCACACGGCTAATAAGGAGGCGGGCCGGCTTGAACTAAACCAACATTTAAAGCATTCATCTAGCTGGATGCCTTTTCAAGGCAAAGGAGAGTTAACAACGGATTTCCATGAAAGATCTCTACAACCACATCTTTAACCTAGGTTGTCAGGTACTAAGAAAGGAGCTGGAAATTGACAGGTTTATACCAGTTTTGTTAAGTTTTCCCAAATGACTGTAGCTTCCATTTTTATGGACTATAATATTAGTGTTTGATATACATACACACCTTTAGAAATAAAATTTACACTGCCATCTAGTGTTGACCAACTATTTTAACTGAGAACTTAAAAATAAGGTCTTCTTGGTACTACGCATTAGAATAATAATTTTAGTATATTCCAAAATTATACAAATGAAGTACACTTAAAAGTATAAAGTTCCCTATATTGTTTAAGTAGACAAATCAGCAGGGATTATTTAAAATTCACCTAGGGTACAATTATTTTCTCCATTAAAGAATTAATAGGAACTATTTTCATTTTTGCATATATTGACAGTTTTTTAAAAATCAGAGGATTTATTTTATATTCTCTAACTTGGTGAGAAGAAGGCTTCTGAAGTACAAACAGCTTTGTTTTATAAAGATGAAATCCTAAACAGAGGTTCCTCATGTCATTTTGTATGTCCAATCCACCTTTTCTATTAATTTATACAACACCCTTGAAGCTGAGTCCTGTGGTAGAAATGCCATCCTACAGCCAAGAGCAAGTGCAGGTCAGGGCAGAGGAGGAGACGTGATACCTGCACTGCAACGTACCTGTATCTGGTGAGAGCTGGAGCCTGGTCCAGAAACCATTTTGGAAGCCTCGATCAAAACGCTCTCTCCTTATAAAAATCAACCTAACCAAAACGCTCAAGAGGCAAGAGCTGTCGTCTCTCCAAAGGCATTTTTCTGCGACTTGCATCACCCCTTCATTTGTTCAGTGAATATTTATCGAGTGAAGAACTCGGTCTCATTCACCTCTGCATGCCTCACAACATACATGGTACATATAGAGATACAAACACATGGGAGTATCAGAATAGAAGAGACTGTTGTGGGGACAGTGTGACTTTGAGGACATGGGGAATGCAAGAGCCTAGCCTGGCTAGGGGAGCTGCTTTTTGCTCTGCAGATATTCTTCCACTGCCAACCTGATCTTCCCCATTACAATTCTGCATTATTAAGTAAAAAGTAAGGACAAAAAGCTCAAAAGGAATATAGGTATGAAAAAGAACACAGTCACCAAAGTCATGGTAAAAAATATGCACTTACCTATAAGCATTAATATAATCTTTCCTGTGTTCCAGAAGAAAATCTCTCAGTTTGCCAATGTGTGAAATCTAAAATTAAAAGAAAGCAAACAGTTTAGATAGATAGATATGTTACACTCAAACGTAATAAATTTTAAGTTAACAGGAAATGGAATGCAGGTTGTAGAAAGATTCTGAAGCTACAAATGGGACAACTTTGGTTTTAGACTCTTGTATAATCACTAACTTGTTGGAACTTATGGATAGTCACCCACATTCTGAGCCTTGGTCTCTCTTTTTTTTTAAATTTAGGTAAAATTGGTATATAATATTATATAAGATTCAGGTATACAACATGATAATTCAACATCCGTATGGAGCCTTGGTCTCTTATTGATGGTTCCTTCTTCCTGTAATTGTTGTCATCTATGACATTATGAAGAGATGATCTCCAAGGAACTTCGAGATTGAATGAGATAATGCATGTCTAGTAACTACATGGCACATGCTCAGTAAAGGCCAATTCCTTTCCTGATATGTCTTATATCTAAAATTTTAGACAAATATTCCTTTGTCAACTTAAAAAGCAAATTTGCCTGTTATTTTATCTCAAAATGAGTTTATTTGGGAATAGCCAAAAGAATTGCAATTCGGGATGCGCATGCTATGGCAAACCATAGGCAAATCCAACAAACAAGGAAGAGCTACTTTTATAGAGAAAAAAGAGGGAGTAGAGAGTGGCTGTTTTAAGAAAATCCATGGGGGAAAGTAATAGTTCAAGGAGGCAATGGCTGAGCTGTGGCATTTCTCATTGGCTGGGCAGTTGCCAGGTGGGGAGAGAAGTCTTCCCTCAGTAGTAAAGTAGTTTTACTTCCTGTCCAAGATGCAAGGGTCTGTCTCTTCCTTGTCGGTGTAATTGACAATGTGTGAGAGCTCCCCCTACAGGCCTTCCCAACTACAGTTTAGTTGAAGTTTCTTTTATTAATTTCCCCACCTTCTTCCAAGTATTCTGGGGGATGGATTCTACGGCTGGAGCTATCAAGTTTGTTATTAGGGCTCATGCAGAGCAGCAAAGTTAAAGAAAAGATTCAGGGGTAACGAATTCTCTCTACACAGCAAATCTCCATCTTCCCTATGGCCTGCTTCCACGGATGGATAAAAAAGGCACAAAGGTACAAAGGATTCTATTTGTGATGGCTGATTTCTAGTATAATAAAAACCTACTTCAAAGCACCTACGGTGTGTGTCAGGTACTGTGGGTGGAGCTAGGGATTAAAAAATAAATAAAATAAAATAAAATAAAATAAAAAGAGGTAGGAAGAAAACTAGGACCATGGTTGAAAGGGATAAAAGTGTTCCAAAAGAAGGGAATGATTAACTATGCCGGTGGCCTGCTCTATCCTTTGACCACTGCTCACATTAGTTTCCTCCTAACGCCCTTTGTACTTACTCCAAACGTACGTAGCCCCAGCCTTGAAGGCTCTGCTGAACTTTCATCTTTCCCACGAAAGTTTTTTCTGTCAAGGCCAACTCAGGCTAATTTTCGCTTTGCTCTGAACTTAAAAGCACTTCTGCATACCACCCACTTGGCACTCACTTGTACTGGGCCACGTCCTCTGGCTTAACTTTTATTGCACGCTTCTTTGTCAGTGGGATTATGAACCACACAAGGAGGGGCTGCACAGCTTCCCCCACAATTCTACGCACAGAAGGAGGTCAATAAGTATTTGTGGAATGAGTATATGTCTAAATACAAAAATAGTTTTTATCACAAAAGACAACAGTCAACCTTTGTCTGGAGATAGGTCAGTAGGAGTTCAGTTAAATTTCCCAGAGTCTAGACTAATAATGAATATGGTTCAGAGAAGTACCTTCAGGCATTTTAAGAGCAGGAATCAAAGAAAAAATTAAGTATAGCCACAATATTCATTTATTTACCAGATAACAAACAATGACTGAGCGTCTGTCCACTATCCCTGGCTCTGCTAGGTACTCTCACATCCACAACCTTGTTCTCTTCCCAACAGCCCCATTGTGGGCACTGATATCACTGCTCCCATCAATCAGTTTGGGAAAGTGAACTTCAAAGAAGCTATGTGACTTGTTCAAAGTTACACATTTAGTGCATGGCAGAGCTCAGAGGCAAACTCAGCACTGCCTGAGCTCAAATTCGGCATGTTTTCCAGTACACCAAAGCTGCCTGCCTTCCCCCCTTATTCCTATTTACCACTTAAATTGCATTATAAAATCTGACTTTTAAGATTGTTGGGAAAAAAAATTTAAGAGATATGCAAACAAGGTGTTTACTGCATAACATACAAGATTTGATCACTTTACTCTCCTGTTTTAAAACTTTCAATGATTTCCTTCACCTTATCCAACCCCTGCCTACAAGGGACCAGATAAAGAATATAAATGAGTAAAGCAAGGAAGTGGATGGGTGCAGTACATTTGGCAGCCATGAATTCTGGTTTTAAAACACACTGTAACCAAACAAAGCAGCTCTGCTGGCTGATTTGACAAAGGGCAGGCAACGTGTAATCTCTGGGCATAACCAATAGGGCGAAGTCTGAACTCCCATAAAGCCCTCAAGGCCCTTCACAATTCAGCTCCAAAAGTCCCATGTGGCCTCAGTCCCTGCCACACTCCCCCCAGACTCCAGGCCCCAAGTCCCAGGGCTTCCCAACACATACACCCTTTCCCGGGAATGCCCCACCCACCTTCTCTCCATCCCAAACTCCTCCTCCTATTTCAAGATCCTCTTTTCCCTCCCTACACCCACTCTAGGCACAGCCAGATGCCATTCACTCACAAAACATGACACATACATCTATTTCAGCACCTATTCCTTTGTGATGGCCACAACAACTAGTTATGAACTGACTTCCCTTCACCAGACTGCAAGCTTCTAGAGGGTAAAAGGTTCTCTCTCTTTCCCCTGAGCTTGTCAGACATAGTTCCTGGTGCAAAGCAGAGCCTCAAAAACTTTTACTAAATGTTGAATAAACAGTGGGTACCGCATAATCCCAAAAGAATTATATGTACTGTGATAGGCAGAATAATGCCACCCCTCCTCCCCCAAAAGATGTCCAAGTCCTAATCCTTGGAACCTGTGAATATATTATGTTACATGGCAAGGGAGAGTTAATGCAGCAGATGGAATTAAGGTTGCTCACCAGTTGACCTTAAAATAGGGAGATTATCCTAGACTTATACTGTATTATCCAGGTAGGAAGGCCCTATGTAATCATAAGGGTCCTTCAATGTGGAAGACGGAGGCAGAAGACAGAGTCAGAGGGACATAGTGGGAGAAGGACTCAATCCAATGTTGCTCGCTTTGAAAATGGAGGAAGGGGAGCCAAGGAATTCAGGCAGCCTCTAGAAGCTGGAAAAGGCAAGGAAATGGATCCCCCCCAAAGTCTAGAGAAAAGAACACAGCCCTGCCAACACCTTGATTTCAGCCTAGGGAGTCCCATTTTGGACTTCTGACCTATGGAACTATAAGATAATAAATGTGTTATCTTAAGCCACTAAGTTCCTGTTAATTTGTTACAGCAGCAATAAGAAACTAATACACTTTGTCTTAGTCAGCCTGGGCTGCTATAACAAAATATCCAAGACTGGGTGGCTTATGAACAACAGAAATTTATCTCTCACAGTTCTGGAGGCTGGAAGTCCTAGACCAAGATGCCAGCAGATTTGGTGCCCGGTGAGGGCTCTCTTTTTGGTTTGCAGACATCTGCCTTCCTGCTGAATCCTCACATGGTAGAGAGAGATCCTCTCTTTCATGTGTCTTCTTACAAGGGCACTAATCCCACTCATGAGGCTCCATCCTCATGACCTATTACCTTCCAAGGGCCCCACCTCCAAATACCATCCCACTGGGGGTTAGGGCTTCAACACATGAATTTTGGGAGTATACAAACATTCAGTCCTTAGCACACCTGCTTACAGCCTTAATATCCATAATAGTTTTTTTGTTTAGGAGTCCTAAAGTTTTCCATAAAAAGATTAAAAAGGTCCAAAGGAATCTACTACATAGGCTAGATCCAGCTGCCCCCCTCCCTCACTGCTCTCCCACCCCCATCTTTAGCTAGCTCTAGTCTACCAGGGTGGAATGGTGCATGGGGATGAGTGCCAGAAACTAGAGTGCCCACAGGCATCTCAAAACACATAATTACAAGAGGTTTCACTTAAAGTATAACAAACGTGATCTCAATTTCTTATGCCCTATAATGGCGATTTCTTATAAAATGAATTTATTAAAACAGGGTGAAGCTTGTTCAGGGTTAAATGGATTTAATAAGTTAAGAGGTGTTAAGTAATTACTGACTTAATAAAACCACCAGTATAAAAACTCAATACTCAACATGAGCACAACGTACAGAACATTTCATACGCCAAGAATGAAAAGAAATAAATGAGCATTAAGATTTCTGTAGGTATTTGACAGCCCTGAAATTCTATTAGATTCCTAAAATAAATATACACAAAAAATCACAACAAATCAATAACCAAAAAAAAAAAAATTTTTCAATAGATCTTTGGTTTATCTAAATAGACACACTAAAGTCCCCAAATAGCATTTTATGATGGGGTTACCTTCAAAAAGAATGATTTGACAGTTTAATCACATGACTACCATCATCTTTGCAAAGATTCTTGGCCAAGCTCTCATCTGTTGACTGTTGTGCTTAGGCCCATTTTTGAATAAACTGCCAAACACAGCATATTTCAGACAATTCTGACATGCCCTTACGTTTTCAAATTTTTAGAGGTTGACTGGTTGTATGCTTTGGATTTCGAAAGTTTCCACACATGGTGCTAATTTTAAAATAGTCACTTACGTGATAAGAGAGTCACTTCTATGTGTGTATCTAAAGAGAATGCCTCCTACTTCTAAAAGGAGAAAGGCCATTCCAGTGTCAAGTTTGACAAGGAAACCAGAGTAAAATGAAAGTATATTTGCCCCATAAAGATCTGCAATTAGTGTCAATTTCTTGCAGTCTTGATATTGCTGAAGGATTTGGGGAGTGGGGTTAGGGAGAGGGTACTGAGAGGAAGGAAGGGGTCAATAGAAAACTCTCTGT